ATGTTAATTTTAATTAAAATAAATTTTATTAAAAATCTTTTTTAAATGTAATTATTTTTTTTATAAATGTAAGTATTTTTTTTTGTTATATTTGTTTAATTTTATAGATCTAAATACTTTTTGGTTTAAAAAATGTTTAGAGACTTAATCGTTCAAAATATGAATGTTCATTGGTTTTTTTTTTTACTTTTTCACTATTTTACCACATTAGCTAGTTGTATAAGTCATAAGAATGTATCCAACAAGTTTTAGAAAAGTCCAAAAAGTTATTTAACAGGTTTTGGATTGTCCAGTGATTTATTTGTTCCAAAAAATTGTCCAAGAACTTAGTCATTTCAAACACTAAAGTCCATTGGGGTTTTTTTGGACTTTTCCCTTTCTATAATCAAGTTTAATACATTAAATATAAATCCAAAAAAATGACAAAAGGGGGTTGACGAGCCAATCCGGCAATCGCACTTAAATATTACCCATTTTGACATGTTATTCAACCCACATTTTTTTAATATTATCAAAAAGCTTCATGTTTAATATGGTGTTGATTTTATTTTAGAAGATAATCATGTTTTATATAATGTTTGTTTAAAGTTAATAGTATTGTTTTATTTATGAACTTTGATTGTTCCGAATTTATTTATCAAAGTTCATATATGAAATAATGATTTTTTTTAAAGTTTAAAATGTTGTCTCTGATACGAACATTGGTTGTTCCAATTTTTTTTATACCAAATTTCATAAGTTAAATTAGAAAGTGAATGAGATAATTAAGGAATATGATATCAATATATGAAAAAGACGAAAATACCCCAATTAACAAAATTTGTACTAGTTGATCGGTTGATATCACACTCACGCTGATCTTCAAAAGCATATATCACATAAGAGAAATAATCACATTTAGGGGCCGTTTACCCAATTCCTTACACAGTAAGCGCTTACCAATAGGAGTCAACACTATAATTTATTTAGATGCGTAAGATTTTAGTACATCAAAGCATATCGAATGCAACAATTTACTAGGTAAGTGCTTACCTGGGTAAGAGTCGTCATCCTCATTTACCGGGTAAGACTCTTTATCCTTCTCATCGCTCTTACCCGGTAAAATTCTTGACCCTTATCATGTTCATCCGATGAGGAAATTTATGCGTTAAACACTTACCAAGTAAGTGTTTAATAAACGACCTCTTAATGTATTGTAAGAATAATATATTTGTTTCACGATGTATTTGCTTTAATATTTTAAATTATTTCATTTACAACAATCTACTTTGATTATCTTAACCAAAAAGTTCAATTCGGATAAGAATGAGAGTAAAAGTAAGGAGCATAAAAAAGAATTTACATCCTTAGATGTACATTATGATGGCATGCACCGAGATGTACCGGATAAATCCATGTATCAAGCGCAATTTATGAGTGGTTTTGAGATCAAAGATGATCAAGAGTCCAGATCTTTTTTCACGATTTTCACTTTAAGTCTCATTCTCACATGATATTTCGCCTTTAACCAAAATAGTAACTTTCTATAGATTATATTATTTCTTTTAATAATAATGTAGCATTATTCAAAATGACGAATGATCGTGTGAGAAACAGAATTAAAACGTGAGCGTAAGAAGAGATCTGGACCCTTGATCATCTTTATCTCAAACTCACTCATGAATGACGCTTGATACGGGGATTGATCCGGTGCTTCTCACTTAATGTTCATCAAAAGGTGGAGATCCTTCTTACTTTTACTTTATTTCTCACTGAAACCCAATCCCATGGTGCAAAACATAACATAGATCATTATTACATGCTTGACAAAACTTTTATCTGAAACAAACAGGAACATAGTGAAACAGACATGTTCTACCTCCATCATATGGAACAATTTGGAACAAACCTGTATTGTGCCAATATAACCTTAAAATAAAACTTAATTATCATATAAAACATCAAATATGTATCCTTTTTACATTTTATTCATTATTTAATTTTTTTTTATTGTATTTTATACTCTAAAAACTTAATCCACTGTGATCAAAATATTATGTTTATTATATTTTGGTTAATTCATTTAATTATTAAATGTTATTAATAATAAAATAATATAAAAAGTATAAAATAAAAATTGAAAACTATATCAATTTTTTATTTTGTTGTCAATTTAATCGTCTTAAAATGATATATTTTATTATAAAAATATTTATTTTATTATAATTTAATAAATTACATAAATTAATCAAAATATATAAATGATATAAACAATTCATTAGGGGTAATTTATTAATTAACCAAATGCTGAATAACTGTTCTGTTTTATCTGTCTGGATACCAAACGCATCTTGAAGGTACGAGTTATTCTAGGGACGAAAATAGCAATAATTCACAAATTTTAGGGACAAAAGTTTTAATTTCGAAACCATAAGGATGAAAGTATTAACTTTTTATAAACCACAGGGACTAAAACATAATTTACTCAAAGTTGTAAAACAGAAGATTTGAACATTTTTAAGGGCAAAGAATCAAAACAAGAACTCGAGACCAAAGGATGCCGGTGAGTCCTCTGTAAGTCAACAGTCCGACGACGAAAGGGTATTCCGATTCAGAACCCTCGATCTGGAGAAATACATCCAGTCTCCTATTCCGTCACTAATGGAGGCAGAAGCCGGCGGCGTTTCGGTGGCAGTAGCAATCGTGGCGTGTACCGCCATGACTATTTTCTACGTCGCTATTCTTTACTCTCCTACATTGATATTTCGTCTCCCGCCTCCATCCTCCTTCAAAAGCTTCATGATTCGACGCTTCGTTTGTGCTGGTATCTCTACTGTCGTTTCACTTCTTGTCTGTGCTTTTATCCTCCCTGTAAGTTCCATCCTTTCATCCTCTACGTTGTAGTGTAAATTTTAATTGTAAATCTGTAATTAGTATTGGAATGATCAAGTTTTCGAACCAGTAATTTATTTATGCGGCAACAAAACGATAATAAATGCAAGAAAAACGCTATACGTTGCAAGTATGCGTGATTCTGGATCCTTTTTGAATCTATTTTTCTTCAAATTTGGCTAAAATCGCTGATAAATTATATTGTGTTTATTGTGCATTTTGGCAACGGCCAGTTTGCAAATGCGGAAGTTGGATCGTTTGAAAAACCGCTTACACACTATGAAGTAGTTTGTTTTTAGGGGAAAACGTTGCATAAAACCAGGCAGTTTTTGAATTCAAATGTTATTGAAGAATTAACTAGGTTTAGCTCAAATTTTGCCAATTCGAGCATACAAACATATATGGGAAGTTGCCTCTTCGTTCAAAAACCTACCATTCATGAAGAAGATCAACCCATTGTAACTTTTCCTATACATAGATAACTGATCCCAAGAATTGAATGATTCAGTGATAGAAGATTTGGGAGCTTTTTCGTTGATTTTTGAAAACAATAAACCTTAGTTGAGAAGCCTTTGGTCATCTAGGATGGTGATGCTTGAAGGATTATAAGTGCAAAGCCTAGAACCACTAGTTATGTTGTTTTTTTTTTTTAACTTTTAACTCATACACTTCCTCTCTGATTTCTCTTGTCGTATCTATGAAGATTGAAGAGGTGAAGATAGGGCATGATGATGTCGTATCTATGACTGAAGTTTGTGATGTTTTGCCTATGAATGTAGTTTTTATATTTATCTTTTCTTGAAAGCATAATCCATGAAATGACTTTTTGTAGTTTTAAATGCTGAAGCAAAACCTATTTCATGCCACATGGGAAAAGATGCAGCAATTGATAATCTAAGAACCGTGATTCATAGACATATAAGCACATAGTTGAAGCTACAAGCTAAGAACTCAAAATTGGTAACTAGAGATAAGATAGCAAAGGGAGTTATAGCTTCGGACAAGATTGAAGAGGCATGTCATATCTATGATTAAGGTTGCTATATGCCAGAATGTTATAAAAATTCTGCTCAAACACAGAAAGGGATCAGAATTGAAGTGTCGGTTAAAGTGAAAATGTGAATGGAAAAGAAGGGGAAAAAATTACTTCCCAGGGACATCAATTTATTGAATTTGCTCTTCCAGAATACAACTTTTTCAATGTGTAATGACAGTAATACATGATAGAAGAAGATTACATCAATGCTCATAGTTCTTAATCGCCAGCACTTCAAAACAAAGCTGAATTCACAAAATTGGATCCTTTTGAATGTTTAATTGGGTAGGATTTTTGGATTTGGGGTAGTTTAGACTCTTAGGGCTGATGTTTTCATTTCTTGGTGGTTCTTATTCTAGCACCAAAGTATAGGACCATTAGTTCTACTTTTTTCTTCCAAATACTCACTTCCTTCACATCTAAGCAATGTTAATTTGGGCTTTTGGATGTGTTTCCTTGTGGCGATTTTTCTCACAAAATCTTGAATTTTTTTGGCTATGTTTGGCAAACTAGCTAATGGCTAATAAGATAGCTGTTAGCTTATAAGGTAGCTGATAGCTGATAAGCTAGCTGATGAACAAATCATGTTTGGCAAAGAGTAGTTGATAAGAATGTAAAATGACCAAAAAGGGCATCTTGAAAAATTAATCAATTATAACATTTCAAAATATATTTGAAACAAATTTCTAATGATATAATATATTAACTAATACAAATAAGATGGTAAAAAGTTAAAA